GTGGAGAGAAGCTAAAACTGGAGAAATATGATCTCTCCTTCCAACTCTCATTAAAACTCTAGCAGCAGCTAAAGAAAACCCGAAAGGAGCTGAAAATAGTTAAAGTAGCTAACAAAGAAGGATATGTTTAAGTTAAGCAGCAACACGCTGAAATTTTTGCAAAATCGTAATGTTGGTAGAAAAAAGCTGAAATTAGCTGAAATCAGCTAAAAAGTAGCTTAAAATGCAGAAACCAGCTTAAATTAGCAGAAAGTTTAATTTAGCAGAACAATGGCAGAAAGTAGCAGAAAGATAGCTGAAATAGCAGAAAAAAAGCTAAAATGATTTAAAAAAAATAGCCAAAGGAAGATGAAATTAAGCAGAACCAGAGGAAAAGGTGCAATAAAGATTTATAAACATTTTGAAGGGTTTTAAGGATGTCGAAGCTCCATTCATTTTTAATTTAAAAAAACTGGGAAAAAAGCTAAATGGCCGAAAAACTTTAAGTTGCTGAAATACCCAAAAGTCGTAGCGCCCGTAGCATTTATGAGCTGAAGGTTTTGATGTATGAATTGTTGAAATAGATCAAAAATTGTGGTATGAGTGATGTGTGGAAGAAAAAAAGAATAATGATAATTGTGTGAATGTTTAATAAGCTTTCACACTATTGACTCACGTCCACGGTTTCCTGTTTGTCCCCTCAGACCCCGGTGGACACCGAGGACGTCCAGCCGGCTCCCAACATCGACCACCTGCTGTCCAACATCGGCAGGACCTCTCTGCTCGGGGAGGCCTCAGGTGAGTCCTCCCTCCATTGTTTCTTTCACCGCACGATTCAAGTAGAAATAAAATTGAATGCTGCTTTTCCTTTAAAGCTGGAAGTTCTGATTTACAAAACTGTCCATCTTACCAAGTTTTAAAACCTTATATCAGCCAAAAACATCTTTTCAATCTTGTTTTGGGACTGGTTTACGAAAAAAGAACTGATTGTGTAAGAATAACCATCTTATTCTTAGCGTGTGTAAGTTTATTTGTCTTGTTAGCRGGAAAATTTGACTCTAAGTCAAAAATTTCTGCCAATGGAGCAAGAAAATGMTACTTGGTAAGATTCTTAAAATACMTGATTTGACTCAATTTTTTCTTATTTCAAGAATCTTACCAAGTAACGTMTTCTTGRTCRATTGGCAGAAATTTTTGACTTAGAGTCAAATTTTCAGGCTAACAAGACAAATAATCTTACACACTATAAAAACAATATGGTTATTTTTACACAATCAGTTCTTTTTTAGTAAACCAGTCTCAGAACAAGATCTAAGATATTTTTTGTCTGGATATAAGATTTTAAAACTTGGTTCGATGGACAGTTTTTGCAGTTGAACCATGTTTTAAAATTAAAGGAAAACATTTAAAACTCAAACAGTTCTCTACTTTCCAACAGAACTGGAACGCAGCATGAAGCTTTAGCTCTTTTAGCTCGTAGTTGGTGTTTGACGGCATGCCTCTCCTTTTCTMCTGACCTTATCTTTCACTCTTCTCTCTGTGCGTTTCTGAATTTCCTCCTCCCAGCCGAACCTGTGGAGCAGCCGCTGCGGTAGGATGGCAACTCCCCTGGATAAATGTGTGTGTGAAGCTGTGAATGTGACACGGTGTGTGTTAGTGATGGTGATGGCTTGTGTCTCCCCGKCCCACCTCTGAAAGTGAGCGTCCCCCCTCCCTCACAGCCTGTCGGTGTCAGACTGAGGTCTCTTTAAAGTCCTGTCCTCACAGTTTGACTCGTAACTTCCTGGGTGGGACAGGAACTGTCAGGCAGCTCCTCTCCTCCTGGAAGAGGTTTTGGTCGACCCGACCCAATCATCGGGCTCCTAACACCGCCGAACTGAACTTAACGAGGCTCTAGGGGCTGCTGTTTCTGATGCACCGTTTCAAATCCAAATTTAATATTTTGTGTTGGAAGTTTGGAGAAAAGCAAGTCAAACAATTACAGATCCTATTTTTTTATTTGACAAAAAAGAGCTGTAAGATTTATTATCATCAGCTGAACTCATTGAAGTTTWATGATTTGCTGATTACAGGATTTTACAAGTAAGAACATATAATTTATTACTTGTCAGCTTCATTCATTCAGCTTAATTTTTTTAAAAGAGAGAGTCAATATAATCCTAAGATTTTTTTTTTACTTACATTTTGAACTAGTTTAAAGTAAAGCTGTCTATAATTCAAGGAATACGTTTATGGAATAATCTTGATAATAAAACTTGCAGAAATATTTCTATGTTTAAAAAGATGATAAAAGCTAGTTTATTGAGAAATATGATGCTAAGTATTATGTATCAACAAACTGTTCAAGTGATGGACCTGCTGCTTGTTTCCAAGTTTGAGTCTGTAAAACACCATTATTA